TCATTATTATTATTTGGGGACTAGGAATTGAACTCAGGACCTTGCTCTTGCCAGGTAGGCACTATGCCACTGAGCTATATCCCCAGCCCGAGTCATGAAAGTTACTGCTAAAGTCACATAATAACATTAAAAGTCTGTGGTATCTAGCCTGAGAATGGTGGCACACATTGCAATCCCAGTCTGTACCTCATAGCAAGACCTCCCCATTTACCCACTGACAAAAGTTGAAGATCTTTTGTGGCTGTGTTACTAGCTGTCTGGGGCCTTGAGTGGGACAAGCTCTCCCTGTTAGTGGTTACCATTGGCCTGCCTGGCCTGCGCCCAGAGGCAGCTGTAGGCTCTGGGTAGTAACTGTATCTTGGTTAATGCTCACAGGGGGCTTTTGTAACTATTAGTGGCCTTCTCCACAGTGTATCCCCTACTCAGTGCTGCTGAAGGACCTGGAGATGAGGAATCTCCGGGAGCTAGAAGATCTCATCATTGAGGCTGTCTACACTGACATCATCCAGGGCAAGCTGGACCAGCGAAATCAGCTGTTAGAAGTGGATTTCTGCATTGGCCGTGACATCCGAAAGAAGGATATCAATAACATTGTCAAGACCTTGCATGAGTGGTGAGGCTGGAAGGAGGAAGGGGATAGCTAGCATGGCTTTGTGCCTCTTCTTGCAAACATGTGATCTCCAGAGGTCATCAGAGGCCTTGGGGCTGGTGCTGGGGCCACCTCGCTGAGGCTGTAGACAGGGAGCCAGCAGGGGCTTCATTTATGATTACAGCTGTGTGATGGCAGTGGGGTCCTTTGCCTCCTCCCACCTCAACTATACACTTGTTCTTGTCTTAAATGCAGCTATACTGTTTGACAGAGGGCCATAGCATCCCCAGGCTCAGCACATGGGGCCTGTGCATCCCAGCCTATCCGGCGCTTTCTGAATGCAGGCACAAAGTTTGGCCATGCTCAGGAAGTGAATATTTGGAATGTTCTTTGGACAGATAAGCCATGTTCAGCTTGCAGTGTCTCGGGTGGGATGTAACTCACTGCAAGGGCTGTCAAAGACCAGGGTTGGGTGGGTCTTACTTGGAACATAGACTCACAAATATTTGATAGCTACATCTGCCACTCACAAGGAATGGGGCATTTGGGAGCAAGGACTTGTTATAGAACTGTTGGGCCTTAGAGAGCTAGCTGAACTTGAGAAGCTGTAGTGAGTGCTGAGGGGTCAGGACTGTGATTGGAGATGTGGAGGTGTAGGTGTTCTTCCTAGGCAGGGACTGAGCAGGTCTGCTTTGTGCAGAGGGGTGGGGAAGTTGTTTTCTTCCTCACAGATTAGATGTCTGGTACGTTTCCAGGTGCAGAGGCCGTGAATGCACCTTGGCTTGTGCCAGGGACCCAATGCCCTGACGCTTCACCGAAGCGGCTCAAACCCCAGGGCATGTGCTGCCATCCAGCTTCTCAAGTTCTGCCCCAGTATGGCTCAGAGTACTTTCTCTTTGCAGTATGTGACAAAAGCAGAAGCTTTCAGTGGATTGTTAAACATAAACAGAATCAACTTAGAACAACCTCTAACAGAGTGGTGTCGCACAGAAAATCTAATGTCTGATACTACTAAAGTTGTTATTCCTGTTCAGTCGTGGCGTGGCTGGCACAGTTTTCATGTCTATGGCCTGGTTTCTTGTTTTAAGCCCCCATGGTATTTGGCAGGCCTTGCCATCCTGACTCCTGTCCCAAGGGGTACACTAGGAGAGAAGCTTAGACTCCTGTTCAGGTATTGGGATTAGAGTGGAACAGCGTTGCCATATTGTGAGGTACCACAGATGCACCAGAAAGTTCACGGTGTTGCACCCTAAGTGGAGGTATATGGGTAGTCTGTCTTCTGTTTCTTTCCTTTCTCTTTTCTCTTTCCCCTGGTCTCTCTTAGCTTCATTTTTTAAATTTTTAACATAGAAAATTGAGAAAGTAAAAAGCATCCCAAATAGGATGTTTTTGGTAAATAGTTTTTCTAGTGAGGATAGCAATTGTGAATGCCACTGTGATCCCTCCCACCTCCATCCAGCTCGCATTCTGTTCTGTAAAACCACCTTCTATGGGCTGCAAAGGTTGGAAATTGGAGCCGTATTCCAAGAAGCTACCCACAGAGCACTGTGTTTGTGTCCTGTGCTGTGCCTGGACAAGCTTGTCATCTGGAAGGAGGGAGGAGCAAGTGTGGAGGGGAGGAGGATGTCCGCAGTGTGGGGAGGGCAGTTCCCATGCCGCACAGAGCTCTGCGTCCCTCTGCAGCTCAGGGCTGGCTGGTTTCCTCTGTTGCAGGTGCGATGGCTGTGAAGCAGTCCTGCTAGGCATCGAGCAGCAGGTTCTGAGAGCCAACCAGTACAAAGAGAACCACCACCGCACACAACAGCAGGTGGAGGCGGAGGTAAGGAGGATGGCTCCATGCCCCTCGCAGGCTGCCCCTGGCTGTGCCTTTTGTCTGTTTTTATCTCGTGAGTCTTGGTGTGGTTCTGAGCGGGCATCAGGTTCAGTGCTCAGCTGGCAGGCTCTGTGGACCTCAGCTGTGGCCTGTGGTCCTCTCTGTCTACCTTCTGACTCTTGGTTAGCAGAAGGTAAGCAGGCTTGGGTGGCAGAGAATGTTGTAATTCCTTGGTTCCCATGCACTTTCCATCTGTAGAGAGAAGGTGAATTTGGAGATGGGTCTTAAAAATGGTTAGATGTAGGACTCAGTGGTAGGTGCTTAAAGCATCTACCAGGCAGGATTACCTGGGCTTTAAGCCAGCACTGCACACGCACACACATGCACACATGAAAAATGGTGGTTTGGGTTACCAGCTGCTGTGGAAGGAGGTGCAGATGGTACAGCACATGGACTTCAAGGCCCTGAAAGCTGTACTGCTTGTGGAGGGTGGTAGATGTTGCTTTTCTCTGAGGTGTGAATTTGTGGGGTTTTTTTGCTCCGAATGCCTTCAGGGCAGGTTTGGCTGGCTGGAGTTGTGGGGATCGAACCACAGCAACCTGAGCCTAACTGCTTTGTTGAAGCAGCCACTTAAAGAACTGAGCTAAGGAGCAGGCCCCTGAATTTGTGTATTATAACCCTTGTAAACATGTGATGTAGTTCATAGTAAAAAAGAAAGAGAAAAATTGAACTAATGAAGTGAAGATAAGAGGGTGTGAATTTGGTTTTATGGTTGTTTTCACCTTTACAAGTCCTTCCCTAGTGTGCATGGGCTTTGAGGGGTCGATGGTATTGAATGAGTTTAAATGTGGGCCTTCCAGAGTGTGGCAGAGCGAGGCCCAGGATTTCAGGTAAGGACTGAGAAATAATGAGTCTCTGTGCCTTTCAGAGAGCAGTTAGTGAGAGTTACCTATCCCTATGCCTTGAAATAAATGAAACTGTGTCTTATCTTTCTTTGTAAGACTGGCTGCTGGCCCCAGACTTGACCTGCAGCAGGTGCTCAGGTGTTGCAGCTGCTGCTTCTGGGGGACATTGCCATGCGCCAGGGGCTGTGCATTTGGGGTCCGTGTTCACTGCTGCTCTGGCTGGGAGGAGGAACTGCATGGAACACGAGCACAGGCACAGACAGCTGGAAAAGAAGCCTGCTGATCCTGGCTGTGTGGCCACTTCTGGGTGCTCTCTATTCTGTTTATTCCCTGGCAAACAAATCAGGGATCTGAGGCTTGGCGGCTCTGGGGTCCCGACTGACTTTAGAGGAGCTAGATAAAGCCTTGGCCTTTCGAGACTCGGGATGCAGAGCAGCTTGGTCACTGCCTGTTTGCTGTCATGGGTGGCAGGACGGGGACTGTCAGCATCATTGTGGTCATGAATGAAAAGGTGAGTGGTACTGAGAACTTTGAGCTGTTCCCATTTCTTTGGGTGACAAATGGCATCCGACAATAGAAAGGCAGGTGTGCTTGGAGTTGTTGTAGGCACTTGGCTGCTGCTTGAGGTGGGTGCTGTGCTTGCTTAGGCCGCAGGATGGACTGAATCATGGCTTTTAAGGTCGAGTGCATGCCTGTTTGTTACAGGGGCCTTTTGGAAAACACTACTTTCCCTGCCAACAGAGCCTGATCTTGCCACCAGGTGGCGCTGAGGACTTCGTTTGAGAGAACAATTTGAGGAAAAGGTCAAGGCTACCTTCCTTAGACTTGGTAGTCTTATGGAAACCTTGGAATAGACCTGTGCAGCGGGAGAGAGAGGAGCTCGGAACCCTATCGCTTCCATACAGTCAGTGCCCAAGCCCGTGTCAGGCAGAGGGGCTGGTGTCCCCAGCTTGAGGTGTACGGAAGGTGCTTGCCCAATGGTTATTTGAAGAGGTAAACGAATCTGCAAGAGCAGCATCTGTCTGCCAAATCCTGCTTGTGTATCTGCTTCTGTTAGTGTGGCCTGACTTGTAAGCCATTCTCATCTGAGCTGGGGATATTTTCTTTCCTTCTCTATCTAGCCTCTTTTTTTTTTCTTGTGGTACTGAGGATTACCTCTGGGGCTTTAACATTGAGCCACAGCCCCAGAACTGTAATTTATTTTTTATTTTTTATTTTATTTTATTTTTTTTCACAATTTTATTGATGAACAGGTAGCAATGAGACAGTTTCAAATCAAATCGGAAGTACAGTTTCAACAAATAATACACTGCATATATTCTTCTTAGTGGTTAATTGCTGTA